ATGCGCTGCAAAAAGTCACAACTCGTGCAAATTAAGCAAACAACTTCATCGATCAGACGACACATGCGCTGCAAAAAGTCACAACTCGTGCAAATACAGCTACAAATTGCGGAAATGACAAGAGAAATGTTTCCAGGGGACCCGAAAAAGTGATGCACCTGGCTGTAGTTCAGTGCTTTGAGAAGTTCCATCACCGCTGAGGAGAAGCAGACTTCAATAACATTTTTCACTCTTACGTAATGTTTTCTTGGTTTGCAGTTTGTTGAGCTCTCTGGTTCAAATGGCTCAGTAGGAAGAAACATAGTCAGGTTGAAAGATTCAAAACACCACAGGATTACAAAACAATTGCAAAAAACAAACTAATGAAAGAACTAGCTGCAGGAACATCAGAATCCAGTGTTCAGTGTTCAATGAATCAAAAAGCTAAGCTGTTGATGCTCTTAACAAGTCTGTAAGAATGTGTCAGGGGCCATCGTTGATTTCAAGGTCGGGGGTGGTGAGGTTCCCCTGATCTTCAGAGTCCAAATTCTAACTTGAGGAAGCGTTCCAGTTGCAACTTCCGAATCTGGGGTTGGTTATTCCAAGATGGACGAGATGGCAGCTCCCCAAAAGTGAGGCCAAATCATTTTGATCAACCCCTGGTGGCTGGCTGCGGTATAGGTCATAAATCCTGCCTCCTCCCTCGAGTGGATGTGACATGAACCAACAAAAAACTTCAAAGTTTACTTCAAAGTACACATTCTTCATTTTAGTTCTTATCACCCTGATGTTTGTTCAAGTGTTAGTTTCGTCCAGACACAATCACACCTGCAAAAACCTGTCAAAAGGTTGGAAGTTACTGGCAGCAAATGAACGTGAAGTCTGGTCAAAAGGTTCTTTCGTTTTTCTCTCGGACTAAATTCTAATTAATTCTGGATTTAACAACCCGGGGCAAAGAGGACGAGACAGACTTCATTGTCATTCATGTCCTCCTCTTCTCACTCTCTTTTTAAATGTCTGCATTACCATTGATTATATGAACATCTTTTCATGGAGACTATTAAAAAAAATCACATTTTAATTGGTTTAATATTTAGTAGGCAATCTCCATTTGATTTAATTCCAGTTGTTAAATCAACCACAAAACTCCAGGATCAAAATACTGAGGCCACTCGCTGGAAATGTGCTAAGTGGTGGGTAAGTCGAGTGTTACAGAATCATCATCATAAATAAGTAACAAACAGTTTCATCTCTCAGATTTGTTTTATGGAGTTTCTGTAAGTGAATTGTCAAATATGTCTCAATACCAGTCACAGTTCTATTTTTCTATAAGTTTTCTCTGATGTAAAAAGAAGTCTGGGTTATTCATCCTGTGCAGGTGGGTTACGTTTTTTTTAATCCACACTATTTAGTAATTGGGACTTTTCCAATTATTCATTTTCACCACCCGGGACCCCTCGCTGTTTCCTTTGGCCGAGAGTCAGACTTGATCCTCTTCCATATTCGATTCTGCTCCCATTACTCGGCCCAACCGCCGAGACCCCCGAGACCATCTCGTATGAATATGTTTGATATAGCTTGAAAGAAAAAATGATTATCTCTCAAATTATGCTATAAATTCCTTTCACTGCCTCCGTCGCTGCTTTTATTTCTTCACTCGCAGTTGCAGTGTCAGACAAATGAAGGATTACAGTTACAGCAGACTTCCTGTCCTTCCTCAGAGCAGTTATTTGACAAACACTGCTGTGAGAGTGATAAAGAGTTAGATCTTTTTTTGGTGTGATTAATTTGATCTATAACCTGCCAATATCAATCAAAAACCATTAATGATGATTAATCCAACCTTTTGCATAATGTCTCTTTGTTTAGCCTCATCATTGTTTAAATATTATCACCATATTTCATTCATAAAATAAATAACATTGCTTACCAAGAAAAGCAAAGAAACCAGCAATCATTCAGCAACACGTGCACATTTTGAAGACCTGATGTGGACAATGCAATTCTTATTTTATACTAAATTAAAATTAGTTTAGAGAGACAACTTTAGTCTGTCCTCAGTTGAGGTTTTAACATTTGCAGTCTGAAACACGACTTTATGAAAATGAAAAGAGTCTGACAACACTATAATCAACACAAAGTCAGAGTTAGATTATTTGAACAGCAGCATCCGATTTGGAAAAACTACCGTAAAACATGATCATCTATTCCTTGGTTTATTTCATTTTAACTGATTTCCCAAAGAGCACCATGTGGGAATTTTTAACACATTAATTTCCAAACAAACAAACTCCTTTTTTCCACAACATTTTTGAATTGAATTAGTTCTTGGAAGCTGCGCTGTTTGTTTTTGTAAACGTTTCCTCTTATGTTAGCATTAGATAAAAAGGGTGGTAACATAATGGTTTCCTGAGTAACGTTTATTCAAGTCGGTATTACTGTATTTTTATAGGTATTTGTAGGTATACTACTATTCAAACAGATAAAGTGCCAGTAAATCACACATTAAACTGTCGCTCTTAAACATTTCATAAACAAACAGAAAAATAAATGAGAGAATTGTCAAGAAAGAAAATATAGAAATTCAGTTACTCTTCTTCTTGTCTCATGAGCGTTGCTTTGGGGCTTCTTCCCTCCTTTTGAAGGCCAAACTCTTCCCCAAAGAGCTTCTCCACCAACACATGGATCAGAATCAGCTGCAGGAAACCTGATCCGACTTCCACGGGCTGGAAAAGGACCGAGGCCTCCAGCTGCACAGCAGTCAGCGTGTCCTCTGTTCCTCACATCTCTATCGAGTCTTGTCTCTCTGCTTCCATCTCCTCAGAGTTTTTCCTCTCCCCATTTACTGCTTTCTTGGAGCTCAAGAAACCACGGTTCTTCTTGATTTCAGACACTGTTTTCTCAAATCTAGTCTGTCCTCACTAATCCCTGAATCACAGCCGGCATTTGGACATTTATGAGGGAAAGATAAGGAAACTTATACGGAAGATAGGGAAACAAACAACAGATTAGTAGAGAATGATACTGAATCTTTGACCTGTGTCCACATCACTTTCATAAAGTGATGGAGTCTGGATTTGTTTGAAAGAGTTTGTGGGAACAGGCAGGAAAACACTTCACACAGAGCTTGTCTTTGAAAGACTTAATGTGAACCAGAAGTAAAATGACTACCATAGTTGGCATGTTATGTCACAGACAGAGAACATTGTCCTTCCCACTCTTTGCTTTTCCTGTTTTGAATTCCTTGAGGCCTGTACTGTTGCTTTCCGTCTGATTAGGATCATTTCCAAGCAGAGATGAGGGGCGTTGAGGTTGTAGACCATTAAAATGAAAGCTCCTATCAAATGCATGATCCATATTGTAAGCTCCATATAGGGCAAACGGGTATAGCACTAATGCACTAAAGCCTTTTCAGGGATATTTCTTCCCTTATATGACTCTTTCAGGAGGCTGTGCCAAAGCTCTCAGTGATCAGCCAAACTCTTCCATGGGTGATGTCTCATGGGTGCTTTGATGTACTTTGATTTATCTTTTCACATGTCCAAACTATAAATCTTCCGTTAAAGAAAATAAACCATCAAATCCTGTTCACACAAACAACAGATGCTTGTGTGTCTGTTTGTTTTTACATTTTTGACATAAAATGACATAACATCAGACGTGGGATAGCGTGAGTCTGTCCATCAGTAAAGAGTTAAGCTCTCGTCCATGTCTGCTCCATCAATCAGTGTGCTTCTAGTACCAGGAGGCATGTTTGTAGTCTAAAGTAAATGATGTGCCTCCCACACATATGGTTCTACTTATACATACCAGCCCCTGTAGCCTAATAGTTTTCCTACATTCTTGCACTGACACGAGTGAAACGTGTGCATTTGAAACCACAGCAAAAGCACTCATTTACTTGAGGGTACCATTTAGAAATTAAATATTATGAACTCATTATTGGCGTTGTGGTATTTGGTGTTTGTCTTTGTAAGAAATCACTGACAAATGTATCAGTCATGTAATGTTAAATCAGCAGTCAGTAATAATAAAAATCGATTAACATTTAGGAAAATGATCATAGAGACTAAATCTTTTCTTCAGGTGCTCCACGTCAAGTAAGAGAATGAGATGGTTTCAGATAATTGGTGAATCTTCATCGGCTTTGAATATGGAGAAGATAAAAACCACACAACAAAAGCTAAATGAAAGCACAGCTTGGAGACACACCCAGACAGTAGCTGTATCCATTTCCATATCAATAGGATATAAAGTTTCTTGTTTACAGGTGGAGCGTCTCTGTTTGTGGTCACATGGTCCCACTTCTCCACTTTCATTCAAAAGAAACACCACCCCGAATATCCACGGTTTAAAATAGTTGCTTCTATCGTCTCCATGTACTTGTTGTGTGTCGCGCCGCAGAGTAAACACTCACAGGAAAAGCTGCCCTACTGGCTCTTCTTGATTCCTGAGGTGACTGCAGAGAGGCTCGACCTGCAGTATGCCGAGTGCTTACAGGAAAAAAGTGTTTTCACAGAACAAAATGCTGAAAAGAAGTAGACAGAGGGAAACTGTGATTGTATTCTGAGAGGGGAAAGAATCTTCACGAGGAGGGGCTTCAGGTAAAAAATGTTTTCTATTCTTTAATGTGTTTTGATTCTCTTTAGCCTCCCACACGTTTCCTCCTCTTGCTTAATATCTCTCTTGTTTTCGACCACATGTGAGTCTCCCTCTCTGTTCTCAGTCCAGAGGAACAGTGGGGCTGAACATGTGTGTTTTCCATTGGCCTTTCTGATAAAATCCTTCTTTTTTCCCGTGAACTGTGGGCCTGAGAGTGGGTAGTGATTCCAGGGGCCGTCTGAAAGCAGAGGCTCCTCCTGTTTGCATCTGAGAGGATGTGTGAACAGAGACGGGCCGAGCAATGCAACACATTTGCTTCACCCTCTACTTACATGCAGTGTGAAAGGAAACCACAATCAACAGAAGGAGGGGGTGGTCTGAGTGAGAAGTAGTGAAACACATGCCTTGTCTGTTCATCACTTCTGCCCCAGGATGGACAAGGACAGACAGAAGCCAAAGACCTATGTGTCCACTTTCCGACTGGCCCTCAAGCCTCAAACCAAACCTGTGTGCGTGGAGAAGAAAGGGAAGGAGAATGGACTGGATACCACACACATGAAGATAATGGGAAACAACAAACTGGGATTCTCATCTGCAACAGGTAAACACTTGAAAAGTATTTTTAACAGTTGTCTCAATGCAACCCCCTGTGGGTGCGTCAGTTTTTACTTTGAGCTTGTTCACAATGAACCTGTTGCATGAGGACACTGCAAAGGCCTTTTGGTAAAACCAGGAGTACTGGAATCTGTTTGATTGCACATGTGTCACGAGCTTAATTCACCTGAGGCCAGTTCAAGAATTGTTAAAGTAATAGCCAAGGGTGTAGCATTTGTAAATAACCATGTTATTGTGAAATGGGCTGTTTTTGTAGTTATGTAGTTGCGGTCGGGGTGACGTGCAACTTGCTACACACACACGTCCTCACTTTAAATTCAATTATTTACTTCATGGTGACTTGCCTTTTGTCCTCATAAAGACTCATTATGTGACTATGTAAATAGAGTTAAACATGAGTAACAACTGGACCTAACACACACACACACACTGGTGACCAACCATTGCTTATCCTGCTGGACATTCCAACACCATATGTGCAAACACACATGTGGTGGGAAAACATGTCACATTGCCCCTAACTTTACAACCACAGGGGACAGAGGAAGTGAAACTCGATGCTGGTCTACTTAGAGGTGAAACAGACAAAAATCATACCTCTAGAGTTTCCTATTTTAACTGATTAGTACTTGGTTGCGTGCAAACCCCCACCAAGGCCCAACACTTCCCTTAAAATTCGCAATGTGAAAAAAAGTCATGGATCTTCCCCCTGATCCAGATCTGCATAGAAACGTAATGGGTTCTTTCCTGACCCGCACTGCATCCTTCCGTTTCATGGAAATCTGTCCACTTTTGTAATCTTGTTCAAAAAGAAACCAACAAACAAAGGGACAGTAATGTAAACAACCTCCTTGGCGGAGTTATTGCAACAAACATACATCAGTGAAAACCTCCTAACATCCCTCCATTGAAACATCAGCTCATATTTTATTCTGCCCTGCCTGATGGGTCACCCGTAGAGAAGAAAAAAACCCAGCGAACACAGTTTTCAAACAAGTGAATCATGTTTGATAACTTAAAATATTGTCCTTGACTCCTTATCTCTTGATAAGATGCCAGACAGACGCAACTGCAGACCCTGTCATCACCTCGCTTTAAAGAGCCCCTCCAGGACTGTGCAGTCTGTGAAGGGAGCGATGCTACATTTCAAAGTGTTATCACAGGAAGTCAGCCCCTGAGCATTTCCTGGCTGCACAATGGTAGGTGACATGATCCTTCCCAGAATATATCATTAAATACAAAAGAATGAAGGACTTTAATCGATCACAGCTACAATATGTGTTTTTCCATCTCATCACTTAGGTGAGAAGATGCATTCAAGTGCCACTTCCTTCAAGAATGGTGTTGCCGTTCTGGTTCTGAAACGGTGTTCACGAGGAAATGCTGGGACGTACACCTGCACAGCGGAGAATGCTGCTGGGAAGCGGTCAAGTTGCGCTGTGTTACGTGTCACAGGTAAAGCAGGAGTCAATATCAAGTACAGTTGTACATGCACATGAATGAAACGCATTGAATCGATCTGAGTGCAGCTAACACGTTTCACTCTGTTTGATAAATATATGATAAAGGACCAACGATGAAGGAAATCCCCAGAACAAGCAACCACGAGCTGCACAGTGAGGTCAAGGTTGTGTCACATGAAAACACGGTCCCAGCTTCAAAAGGTAAAACACAGAGATAAGAAAAAGCACAAACAAGTTTAACTCCATTAAAAAAAAATAGTTTCATATTGTTACAAACCCACAAACTCTTTTCTTTTCTTCTTACAATTAAGTATACTTTTGTCAGAGTTTATTTATATAGCATGTTTAAATCAACCACTGTGCTGTAAAGGCTTAAGATATGAATAATACAATCCAGAAGTATATTTATGAAATAGGGAATAAATAGAAAATTAAAGCAATAAAACATTAAAAATCATAGATAACTGAGTAAATTAAACTTTTGCACATTAACCGATGAAATCAAGTTGTCAAACTTTCAAATGGATCTTAAGTGATGATTTAAATGTGTCTAGGGTCTGAGTGGTTCTGATACGATTTGGTGAGATGCTCCAGAGATTAGATGCAGCCGCTTCTTTTTCCTCACTTGTGTGAAGGGTTAGGGGCAGATGATGTCACACCTCGTTCAGCTGTGGAAATAATTGATTTAGTTAAAAAAGAAAAGGGAAGCAACAACAAATAAGCACTTGTTTGGTTTATTAATAGAATAAAAAAATGTACACACAAATTTCTGATCACAGCAACTGTTTGACAGACAAACTGGCTCTCTAGGTTGATTGTATTATTTGCCGCTGCAACCAAACATGATTGTTCTCATGTGATTGGTTAGATCCTTCTTAAACACCCCCCCCCCCACCACCACCACCACAGCACACACCTGTAAACCCACCCCCTCGTTCAGTCTCCACAGAGATTTCAACCTTCAAACAAAAGGGTGAGCAGAGGACAACACGTCCAGCTAGAGACAAAATCAAGTAACAGTCTGCTGCATTTTGTTGTTTTTTTACCTCAGGACCTCCTGTGGAGTTTCTTGACCCCCCCGAGCAGGTGGAGGTTCGGTTAGGAGAGCAGGCCCGTCTGCACTGTGAGTTCAGGAGCTGCTCTGTCCCTGTGGCCTGCTGCTGGATTTACAACAGAGAAAAAGTAAGAGTGATACGAGTCCCAGTCGCTGCACCTTCGGATCAGCATGTTTGTTTTCTGGCTTTGAAAACCAACGTCCTCCACTCTCTTCAGGTGGTAGTCGGGGGGCCGAGGGTGTCTGTCAGGAGCAATAAGACCCAGAGCAGCATGGAGATCTCTCAGGCCTGTGCAGACGACACAGGCTCGTACACCGTGATCGTGCAAAATCGAAAAGGCTCTGCACAGCACACAGTCTCCCTCAGTGTCATAGGTGAGTTCCAGTCTACCACTGTGATTTGAAATGATGCTGCTGCTGTTATTTTTTTGTTCCCTAAATGCAGAAACTGGACACAAAGGAAATATGCTTATTGATATTTTCCTGTTGCACTAATGTAAAATGATCTGACCAGGAAATCACTGAAATAAGAGAGGAGGCTACTTCAAAAGCTAATAAATAGTTGTAAAAATAACCATCATCTCAGTTTCTCTTGTGTCGTGTTTTTGAATTTCCCCCCAGACCGACCCGATCCGCCAGCTTCCCACCCTGTCATCTCCAAGCTGTCCACGCAGTCCCTGGTCCTGTCCTGGACTGGCCCCAGCTACGACGGCGGCACGGCTGTGTTGGGTTACATCGTGGAGGTCAGAGACGAGGGCCCGGACAAGCCCGCCAGCTGGACCGAAGCATCGAGCCGCTGCAAGAACACGTCCTACCACGTCAGCTCGGGCCTGGAGCCTCTGGGGCAGTACCGCTTCCGTGTCCGGGCCTACAACTCAGCAGGAGTAAGTGACCCGAGCCAGGAGTCTGACTGCGTCAAGATGGAGACGGCGAGTAAGTGGTGACGTTTGGAGACAGACATTTTTGTGATCTGCGTCATGAGAAATGTGCTGACTTGCTTGACTTTTTTAAGTATCAGAAGAGGAAAAGAAGGAGGAGCCAAAGTCGTACGTCACAGTGACCGTTGACACGAAACACAAAGTCAGCGACCACTACAACGTGCATGAAAACCTGGGATGGTAAGCACAGATCATTCAAGTTGTCAGATTGTAAACCACTGAAACAACAACTTACTGTTCCCTTTTTATTTGCTTTGGATCTAAAAACAAATCCAGTGGGAAGTTTGGCCAGGTGTTCCGGTTGTCCCATAAAGAGACGGGTCATGTGCATGCGGGGAAGTTCTATCGAGCGCGGACCTCCAAGGAAAAGACGGCGGCCCGGAAAGAAATTGAGCTGATGAACTGTCTCCACCACCCAAAGCTGGCCCAGTGTCTGGCTGCGTACGACACGCGCTCCGAGATGGTCATGGTCATGGAGTAGTAAGTGACATGGGCGTTAGTTTAGACTGAAAGTTGTGACACAGAAGGATGAAGTTTCTTCTGAAGGAAAAGATGTTAGCATGGGGGAAGCACTGGTGTTGAAGCTTGAAATCAGTCAAACCATAAAATCCCAGCAAACCTATGGGACGATTTGTATAAAGCATATTTAAAATTTACATTTGGATTAAAGATTATATTTATAGTTCAGAACCATGAGTTGCATTTTTGATTATAAAGCTTCTCATCACCTGAGCTGACAGTTTCTTCTCTGATGTGCAGACCTGAACGTTGTGTTGTTATCCCTCTGCCCAGCATTGCAGGCGGCGAGCTCTTCGAACGCATCGTGGACGACAACTTCGAGCACACGGAGCCGACCAGCGTCAGCTACATGCAGCAGATCCTGGAGGGCATGCAGTACGTTCACAAGAAGAACATCGTGCACCTCGACCTCAAGCCGGAGAACATCGTGTGCGTGGACACCACCGGCACGCGGATCAAGATCATCGACTTCGGCCTGGCGAGTCAGCTGGGTGAGATTGACTGGACTTGTTTTGGGGGGGGGGGGGAATCGCCTCAGGAGCACAATTAACGAGGGGTAGTTGAAAAAATGAAAACAGCAGTTGCTCACTGGGGACTTATTTGTCATCTGATGGCTGACGTGTCCCGTTTGTGCTCTTGAAACAACAAATAAGAAAATGGCAAATATCCTTATAAGGCCTGTTTGTGTGTTGGCGACAGTTAGTGCTGTCTGCTGCAGCCATCAGATTGAGGAATAAAATGATTCATATGTTTTTTTTTTTAATGTTACAATTTATTTTTCCCCAATTGCAGAGTTAAGTGTATTTAAACTTAGCAGACATAACATCGAGGAGTGTTTTCTGAATTCCTACATTTTTCATCAACTATTGGATCGTGACAACTCCTTAAACGGGCAACTATATCTCTATAAGCTCAGCTCAAAGCGCGTGAGGCGATTCAGGCCGAAATAATGTAACACTCCAGATGCAACAGCTTCACACTGGGTGGTCTATTTAGAGAAGACTGGGGCCCACTGTAAATAAGTTAATGCAAACAGGCACATTTTTCTTCCTCTCGTTCTGCTCTTCAGAGGAAGGTAAACCTCTGATGGTGATGCACGGCACGCCCGAGTTCGCGGCCCCAGAGGTGATCAACTACGAGCCCGTGGGCCTGGAGACGGACATGTGGAGCATCGGAGTCATCTGCTTCATCTTGTAAGCTGAACGGCGGCGGACAGTTATTGTACCGTGTGTTATTTTAACATAACTCAGCATAAAGTTACAGTTACCAGCTCAGAACGAAAGAATATATATAGATCTTAACACTTTGATCTTTATTCAACATTTGGCCTTCATATGTCAAGATGATGAAGTCATTTCAAAGTAGTTAAAAGAAACAGGAATATATTACTGAGATGAAATCCTACTTTTTTTTTTTATCTGGTAAATATTAAAAATCTTTCCAACCTCAAATACTGTATCTCTGTAAACACAGATTTGGTGCCATCTCCTGGTGACTTTTTGGCATTACCACAGTCCCAGATAACCACAGTATAAAGATTCTTTTTATAAGATAAACTTGCTCCAAAATTACAGTAACAGTACAAAATACAATAGAGTCCAATAGAATAAAACGGAGTATTAAGTGTAAATAGGAAGTATAAGTGAAAATGTAAACCAGGACCAGTGCATACTTGAAATAAAAAGGGAAGTAAAAGACGGAAAAAACATACTAACTAGGAGAAGGTTATATTGCACATGGTATTGAAATGCTAAACATTGTAACATTGTACATGAATATTAATATTGCACATAAAGGATACGTTCATAGTCTCAACCAAACTCATTGCAACACTGCATTAATCACCAAAGAACAATTCCAGTATTGGTGTGTACCAGAAAAAGATGAGAAGACACCATGGCATTTCCCAGGAAGGGTGTTCATCAAGATCAGAAAATCCCTATTTACACACCATTACTGTTTTGTGTCATAGGCTCAGTGGAGAATCTCCCTTCCAGGGGAACAGTGATGCCGAGACTTTTGCCCTCGTGGCTGCTGCCACCTACGAGTTTGACGAGGAAAGTTTTGAGGACATCTCCAACGACGCCAAAGACTTCATCAGCTCCCTGCTGAAGAAAGACCGGAGGTTTGTCTGTTTCCTAATCGATCAGTGTTTAACTGCCCTGCAAGTACACACACATGGTTTTCACAGACAGTTTGAAACGTTCTACCTCTGTCAGACATTCAGCTGGTATAGTCACATGATGAGCAACATTTTGGTTCCCGGGACCTTCACTAGCATTTGCAGGAACATTTACAAAACAAGCTTTGGAGGCTTCCTGCAGCAATTTGACAGCCTCTCGCTCTGCAGATGCAGGTTGTCATGCACCGAGGCCCTCGTCCACCCCTGGATGGTCTCGTTCACCCCTCTGAGCCGCAGACCCACCAAATCTCTCAAGAAGGACAAGATGAAACATTTCCTGGCCAAGCGCAAGTGGAAGGTAACACAGAAAGTGGTTTTAGCCCAGCATTGGACAGATGTATAATTTCTTATCAGAGCTTCCTGATGACGACCTTTTACAGCCATTGTGCTGCGCAGGCCCGGAGCTGGGATGTGAATGTAGTTTGTCATCCAGTGCGATTTGTCCTTTAAAACTTCTAGAAAACTGGCAAGGCTGTTTTGGCCCTGCAGCGGATGGCTAACCTCTCCAACAGGCCAGACTCTCCTGGCAGCGCCTCTGAGGGTAAGACAGATAAATAGATTCACACACACACACACATACACACTGCCGCTCCAATTTCCTAGAGCTACATGCATATGGCAGATGACTCACAGTTTCAGATTGTCACTTCAAGTTTACCCTTTTGTGATCAGTTTGTGTTTTATTCATCATCCTCCTCCCTCTCATCCAGAGCCAGGATGGAGCCAGGAGGCAGAGGAGGCCATCCAGGCGCTGGATAAGCAGCTTCAGAGCGAACCTTGCTTCCAGCAGACCCTGAGGGACACCACACTTCCTAAAGGAGCAACTGCTGAGCTGAGATGCCTCGTCAACGGTAGAGTGACAGAGCTGTGGTGCACTTCATTAAATCATGTCCTGCCACATTATAGAAGTGCCAATGGCAAACAGAGCAATCTCCCTGAAAAGCTTTGACTGTAATAGAACGAGACCCAAACTGCTTGTTTTTTTGCTACCTGCTGTCTTTTATACAACCGCTTCTGTAATTTGATGTCTGTATATTTTTATTTCATTCACTGTCCAGTTGTTTGTTTTCATGTTTATGATTCTACAGCTCAGTGTGTCATTCTTAGGTTACCCACAGCCGCGGGTGAAGTGGCTCCAGAATGAGAAGCCGGTGTCCGAGTCCAGCAGAGTGACCGTGGAGCAAAATGAAGACGGCCTCTGTTCTCTGGTTCTGGACGATCTGGAGCAGTCTGACTCCGGGGTCTACGTGTGCAGGGCCAGCAACAAGCTGGGGGAGGCGATGTGCTCCGCCAAACTCCAAGTGGAGATGTGACTGACAAGCAAACTGCAGGATCCACATCAGTGACCGAAGAGATTCAAATGTTTAGAGAACTTCTGGACTTCGGCTGCATTCGTAATTTCAAGACTACGTTGCTGCTCCCTCAATAGGGATTAATGAGATTTGGACATGCATTACCCAGAGTCCTTTGTTTCACACGACACCAGTTACTCGTGCACTTTCTAAGCCTGCTTCCTTCCATTTGACATGTTCAGTCACCAGTGCACAGGGTTTTGAATTATTGAGGTCACATCACGCTACTGAGCTTCACTCTGCTCAGACGGCGAGTCACGTGAAAATTGTACATTTTGCACATTTAAATATTGTTCTGAGGTGAATGACTTACTTATAATAGAAATTAAATTTAAAAATGACTGTTTTTTTTAATTTTATGTAACACTAGAAGGGCATTCAGAGTGCACACTGTTCCTTTAAGAAACCAAATTTAAATTCACGAGATCAGCAACATTTTGAATTTTATTAAAAACGTAGAAAAAAAACCTCTCACAATGTAAAAGTGGGGGAAAAGAAATGACCAGATCCACACCACAAGTTAAAGGGTTCTTTCTTGACCTAAACCACATAAAACTGTCCATGTTATTTGACAAAAGAACACAGAGGTTTGAATAAACTTCAACATCACATATAAAACGGATTAGAAAACTCACAGACTCACTCGTGGCTTAAACATGTGATTTATTATTCTGCTTATTCCATTTTATAAAGCAATCCTCTGAGTTTGCAGCTTACATGCAAGACAATGAAATTAAAAGACAAAACATCACTAACAATCACTATTTAGACCAATCCAGCAAATTGAAGAAGCCTTTAATACTGAAGAAGCAGTATATTACTGTTATGTATTGCAACAGTAAAGCCACCATAAGCCAAACACATCACGACTTTGGGATTTACTCTGCGGCCGCTGCGTAGACACAAATACTCGGATGATCTGGAAGTAGAAGGTTGGTCATGGGACTACTGGCCCAGCTGGTACCCAGTGCTTTTTCTTGGATTGCAATTAACCGATTTTCTGCAGATTCGATTGAGACACGACTGAGTCATCTGTTTCGTCTACTGGCCACATTCACTGACTTGCTGCAGCGTGGGGATTTCCATATTCAAGTGGCTGAGCTTGATTTACGTAAATTTGTATTGTCTCCAGTGCCCAGTGTGTTTACCTGCATTCCGCATGAAAACTAAGATTATCTTAGTAAAATATTCTGTAATATTATCAATCTATCGCACATGTTTTTTATTAAATCATTATATACTAAAAATTTAATTAACCATTTCTCAAACTATGAAACCAAAAAGATGCATCAGTTCATTTTCCCTTTCCCTTACTGTTAGTTTCTTTTCTAAGCTACATTCATATTAGTTATAGACGCCATGAAAAGAGGACAGAGTGTGTAAAGTGTCGTCAGCTGATTAAAATACTGGCTTTGCAGAAAAGTTTGGTCTTGAACGATTTAGGACTGAATGTTGGAACCGACATTTACAAACAACAGTATCTGTTTAAAGGCAGCCACGAGGTCAGTTCTTTCCATCATTCAGCAAAAACATCTTTAAAAACCTGTGGGAAGTCGATGAGTCTTGGTCAGAGATGTGAGGACGCATGCTGGGATCACTGCAAAGGCACCGTGGCCGTTCTCTCTTCTTTCTAAGGCAAAGTTTCCTCATGTGGATCAGTCATTTCTGTGTAAGTGTGGCCGGGCCTGACGTTCGCTCACACGCACGGGTCACGGTTAGGACGACGTAGGGACCCACGCATGCTCCTACTGTCTCTGCTGGATTCTCTTCTGAAGAAGTCTCCAAGCTTTCAACACCTTTTTAAAATAAGTCAGTAAAAGAAAATCACCCAAAAATACACAAGATTCAAATCGTTAAATGTCATGCAGCTACGTGGACCCTACACCGACCTGTTTCTGCGTGACCTCTGGTTCCCACAGCGTGCTGAGCACCACGTTAGCATGTTCCACTTGTTTGGCGTTAGACCACTGGCTGTTCAGTCGGCGCACGGCGTCTTCTGCGGCCACACCGTCTCGTTCTGTTATTCTCAACACCGCCTGAGAGGAGGGGAATCAGGAGGCAGGCAGGTCGATGAGGTTAACCAGGAGTGTCTGGTTTTTATTTTTTAAAGGTCACTGAGTGTTTAATCTCTGGGGAAGGCACCCCCCAGGTACAGTATTAAAAAAAAAAACCCGACATTTTTCTACCGACTCTTTAAAAGCCTCTTTACCCCCCATTATTGAGAAACGGTTATTTTTCTGCATCCTGCTCTCTGTGAGGAATCCTGATTTCGCAGGTACACATCTACAGTCACTCAGGCTCCATCTCTGTCCCATCAGACAATGCGTTACCTCGTCCTCTGGGATGACGGTGACCCAGACCTCATGGACCATGTCTGTCCAGCCGGCCTCCAGGAGAACTGCTGCGTCCACCACGCACACTTGTTTACCTGCAGAGAGCAAAGGTTTACATGAGCACGAGCAAATCTCTACGAATACAAAGGGAAAGCACAGTTCATTTTTTAACTGTGTATGTGTCAATGCGACCAGTGCATTAGCTTTAAGTGAAGGGGATTGTGAAAGGGGATAGTCTATTTATACTTTATGCTAAACCCAACAACCTATCCCACCATGTTTACCAAAACACAGTCCTTCAGTACTAAGATGAATAAATTTAAGTTCCTACATTACCTTCCTCTCTGGCTTGGCTGATTGTCTTCTTCACCAGACGTGCTATCTCCGGCCACACAATATTTGTCAGGGCTTTTAACCGCTCCTGCATGGAAAACAGAATCTTTGGTAAATTGTTGATGCACAGCGATGTAGTGTAACTACACTACTAACTTTATTTTAAACATACAGACATATTATTTATATTTGTCGAATTACCTGATTTCCAAAAACTTTCTTTCCTAGTGTGCGTCTGTTTATGGTTTGGTCTTTATTCAGAATATCTACAAAAGAAAAAAAACAAACTCGTCTTTGTGTGGAGATGCATGAGATTTCACATAGTAACATTAACAAAAATGATGCAAATATGTATTATCATCTATTGCTGATCAATGTGTGTGTGTGAGGTATCACAAAATAACCACAGTCCAACCAAGGGTGTTTTCTCACCTGAACCAAATTCTTCCAGCACCCTGTGATAAGCTGCTGCACCCGGCTGATACACCGCGTGGCCCATTTTGTCGCAGTCAATCCGGACGGCACCCAGAGCCTCCAGCCTCCTGGCGATGGAGCTCTTCCCGCTGCCGCTGCCTCCCGTCAGGCCGATCACATATGGGAGGGGAGGGAGATGGGATGTGTCCTGGCACGCAGGAAGCAGGGGACGCACAAGAGGCCATCAATAATCAAAGAAGCTGCAAACCCGTACATTTGTATTTGTCCCTTCTCTAAATGTGTTTTAATAACAAAACCATCCAACAGAAAGATGGCAAATCTCGTATACATGATATTTCAGTTTCCACTTGTTTCAGAGTAAAAAAAAGAGACTGTACTTTGTCATGTGCTGAAAAGAAAAGCTGTTACTTTTTCACCTGGAGGAGACAGCTCCTTTCAGAACAGTCAAACATTAAAGTCTGTTTGACCCTTGTTTCCTCAGTGAGATAATGAAAATTAAATGTGTTTTACTGGCCCTTTGCTTTTCTTGTGATTCACTGAACATTTAACCAATGCTGGTATCCATTAACCTGCACTGTCAACATTTTTTAAACAGGACCTACTTTAGGCGGAGTAAGGAGAGTGCCCAGGAGTCGAGAGCGTAGACTAGAGGAGCTGATCTTCTCCTCCTCCGTCTCAGTGTGGTGGGCGTCTTTCAGCAACTGGATCTCGTGAAGAACAAGAGCTGGAAGTCCCTGGTTTACAGAACATAAAACATCAAATATGTGCCAATACGGTGGCTAGGCTCACCTAAATTTAATCACACTATAAACATCTAAGTGTTCTTTTATACAGTAAGCCACAATACAACTTTTTTCTATTTTCAGAGTAAATCTAAGTGTCTTTCAAAACAGCAATTTGAGTGATGACTTCATATCTTTAATGAAGTAAAACAAGGTGCTGTAGTTCAATGTGTAAATGAAATGTTTGGTTATTTAAAGGTGTAACTGTGGCCTTGGATTTGAACGAAAATGCTGAACATATTATGCAATGTTTAAATCTCCTTTTTTAACTTACATTTTCAATGCGTTTCTTGTTTACAGCCTCGCCTCCTTTTTTCGTCTCCTCGCTAACCACAATGCACTGCAACAGGGGGTCGACCACAGACACTCCAAAGGGGTCGTCGAGGGGCACGATCTCCACCTCCAGCGATGGTTTGATGTCTTGCAGGAACTCCTGCAGTATCTGAACCCGCAGAGAGTAGGGCTCAATCAGCTCCTTCAGCACTTTTCCTGAGAACGGGAAGAAAAGGATAACGAGGGTGAGGCTGCCTTGTGATTGTTGTTTTCATAGATCATCAAAATATGAGATCGCTGAGAGTTTACATGAATGTGCAGTTCTAAATGGGAATACCGACAATGAACTACTCACTTTTCAGCATTGCTTGGTCACACACACCAATAAGGAACCTTCTGTTGGCGAGTAGGCATGAGATGTTGAGCAGCGTCTTGTGGGCCCCATGGAGCCGGTCAAACGTCCCCCCTACCACCACATCAGCATATGTTTCCAAAGGTTCTGCTTTTCCTTCTGTCTCTTTCACACCTTCCACGTTCTCCTGCAGCTTCATCAGCTGTGGATGAAGCAGCACCGAGGGCAGACTGGGGCTACAGACGTAGCAGTGGCCAGTGTACTTCTGCAGACACTGGGTGACCTGATGCGACTGACCTGGGTCCTGCAGGGGAAAGTCTGTGAGCACCACGTCTGGGGAGTGAGACAGAGGCTGTGGGGTGGGGAAGGGGCAATTTGGAGCACCGGCGGACTGACCGCGGACATTGGTCAGCAACACCCGAATATCCAGGTGCCCGCATATATCTGCTGCATTGCTGTAAAGGCGGGTAATGACCGTCGACAGGTCCACCAATGGTGGGATGAAAACAGGTCGCTGCTGACTTCCACTTCCCAAGTTGAGCCCGGGGTGGAGGTGGACGTACAGCGTGCGCTCTACGAGCTGAGCGGCTGAGCTGAGCACTGGAGCGATTCGCAGGGGCAGAGTGTGGAGAGGAGAAGTCAGCACAAGGATGCCCGTGCTGAACATGGACATGTTACTGGCGAAGAACACAGGGAACTCACGGCCGTCACAGTATCTGAGAGGTTTCCGTTAGAGGATGGAAAACACTGACGAGGAAGAAAGAAAAAGAAAAAGTTAAACAATATGTACATTCTGTTATATTTAGCTTAGGTTTGGGCGAGTGTTTTAATCATAGGCTGTATAAAGAAGGATGACATGACAGCTACAGTACATGTTACAAACTGTCTCCTCCATGTTGGCAGATGGGACACGGACCAAACTAAAAAGTCTAAATTCATGTCAAATACAACTTTTTGTTATTTAAGGTAGTTCTCATCACAATGTTCAAGTGATTCACACATTTTTAAATTATATTTTCATGAATACACTTTATTTAAGACTTCTTTTATATTGTATATACTTGTATTGCTGACATGCTACACATTGGTATTGTAGTTACTGACAAGCTCAGAGGCTCTACACTAGGAATCAGAGATAACATAGTCAACAGACCTTGCAGTGCATCTCTGGGTCACAACAATGGAATGATTCACTATCACTGACAACAGCACTCCTATTTAAAAAATGTGTCCTCATACTTTACATTGTTACAATAATAAGTCAATAATAAGGGACGATATAGTTCTTTGTGTCAGTGTTCAGCAGGAATTCTTTTTTAAATTCCTGAATGGGGCGGGGGAATTCTCAGTCTGAGACAAGATTGAACTATTTCAGCATTTCTTACATAAATGTTTCTTAAAAACAACCTGTCTTTCCGGACTAAATACATGAAATTTAAAAACGCACAATCTAGAACCTATGCACTTTAACTCCACGTTGACCACGTGTGTTTATCACTTTTCTTTATGATTTGTTTTCTCTTTTTTGTGAATAATGTTTTATAATATTTCCTGTTGTTCAACATGGCTCTGACTTGTCGACGTTGTGTTATGTTTGATTTTAAGTATAACCTGTCTGAGTTGTATCATATTACATTAAATTATATTATGATACGTTTTAATATAAGTTCAATTGGAAAAAAAGAAGGTACTTCCTCTTTCCTCATCCCGCCCACAAGCAATCTGATTGGACAAACCCGAATCTTAACCAGTCGTTGACCAATCAGAAGCGAGAAGTCCATGTTTATACCAAGTGTCATTAGCAGGAAAGACTTTAGCATGGAAGCTAACATGACTTCTTGCAGCCTACACAGTCATGCTATGTTTACAATAGCCGCTAGCAATGTGACCCGAGGTGAACACAAGAGTGTCAGCAAAGTCGCGACTAGCTAGCTAGCTATGTAGCACAACTGCCTGTAAAAAAAAAAAAACAACCTTAAGTTTAACGCGGACATGCACGATGGAGAGGAGCTGGAGTGGATGGTGTTGTTCCGGATCCTGCAAAGTCGGAGTTCGCTCGTTGTCTGGTTCCGATCGCGGAGGTAAAGAACCCCCTGCAGGTCAGCACGAGCTCACCCGTGTCGAGCGGAGCTGCGGCGACGTGACTCGCGGATGAATCGTGTCGTAGAGACGCAGATCTGTCCCGACAGAGGACCGAGCTCCGGCTGATCTACAGCGAGGTTACTTCCGTCCACCACCGACAGAATGTCCACACGGACCCTGGTGGAAGTCACTCACACATCAACTACACTGGGTGGTCTCAGTCTCCCCTGCACCCCGATTGGCTGAAATCTTTGTGACGTGTGGTTGTGTCACACATATCAGGGTGGGGGGTTAGGGGTTATAGTTTGCATCATGTCCTCATTCACAGCCCGTGAACACACAAACAACACACACATGTTCAATCAAAATTAAACAATACATATGTCAAATACATCACTAGTGGTTGTACATTCTAAAAATACACATATATTGCGTGTAATACAAATAAATATGCAGAGAAATCATAGTAACAGACACCGAAACACGAATAAAGGTTAATGCAATAAGATATTTAGTTAAGAGACACCTTGTAAAAAAGCTTGATTATAAAAGATAACATTGGAATTCAAACAGAAAAGCCAAAGGGAAAAACTTGTATAAAAACCAAGCAACTTAATAAGTTCCAGTTTGATATCCTCAGGGTGTGTGCACGAAGTTCAATGGATGCATAATAATTATGACTCATGTTGTGCAAATATTTGGTAACAAGCCCCAACATAAATAAATTACTTTCTACCTGTTATTATTAGAGACAAAAAACAACAACTCTTGAAGAACGTTTCTTTTTTTAATTTATACTTTGAGGCCGACATTTCGTTTTTACAAAAATAATAAAAAGAAATTCCGTGTTATCTCCATACTGTAGAAAGAGTTGCATGACGGAGCCCTGGGGTTAGCTGGGCAGAGGCATTTGCATATATAGCAAAAAAGGACATCAACCAGTAAACACAACATATTCAAGTAAAAAGTCACCACAATGAAGTCACATTAAAGCCTGGTGGCAATTATTGGAAATTAAGACTCTTGCTGGGTTTCACTTTTGGTCAGAGGAGTCAAACTGAACCCTGGGGGACGAGTCCTTCTGTTTAAGATGTGAATTGATAGCAAAGTCGGTAAGATTTAGGGAACGATGAACCTTAAAAAAAAAATGAAAGTTGGTCTTGAAATGTGGGAGAAATTTTAAATCAAACTATGCAATTCTTGATGGTGAGCCTGCAGCTTCAGGCATGACATCTTCAGTGGATGCGTGCTTATGAATACAGACGGACGCCTTCTGTTCAGTTGAACTCCCCTGCTCTACATAAAGCCAGTTGAAATACATTAATTTACTTTCTTTTCGCTGGTGCTATCGCTGGCAGCTGTGTCATAATGGCACTTCTCCACACATCGCCTTGGAAACCATCCCCTTACACGCTCCCCCCCTGGAACGACAAAACAGAAAGAAATGGCCATTTTTAGTTTTAAGTGTGAATTTAAAAACATTAATCAAACAAGAGCAAAAGCATTTGTAAATCCCACAGTCATTTTTACCTCTCATTTGCTCCTCATTCAAAACCTTGTCTCCATACATCCACCACCTACAGAGAATTAAAACAAATGTAAGCAGAGAATTCACAGAGGCAAAAACAATAGTTTTGGTGAATGAATGAATGAACTTACTTGGTGCCGCGGGTGGCTAGGATGGTGTCCCCCTTGCGGAGCGGGATCCTGGGCTCCTCGGTGCAGGGGGTTCTGAAAAATGTTTGGAGACCCTTGCTGAGAGGGCAGCAAGCTCCGTTGTAGTGCTCCACTGCCTGGTACTGGACCTGCTGGCCGAGTCATACAGGATGTGTGGTTATTCTACAGATCAAACACTAAACTCATACAAGATCAATACAGGATGTGTGTTTATGAGTCATGCACTAAAAACTGGTCATACTTGCATGGCACAGGTTCTTATTAAATGACACAAATGGGGAGGTAAAAGTCAAACAGCGCCTTGCCATTCCAGTCTAAATCCTACTCTTTGTGTGTCTGTGCTTTCTGTAACTCAACCCTACATGGGTGTCACAATACAGATCTGGCAGGTACTTACACTTCTTACTCGTTTATCAGCTTTCTGCTTCAGTTGCTCAATCTGTTCAGAAGGGAAGAACACAATTAATCAACAATGCAACTTTTATCTCACTGCTTATCATGAAATGTAAAGCAGGGTCTGACTACTCACAGTGGATACTGGTCTAAAAGCAGAGCGATTTCTACAGATTTATCATAACTTATCATTTACATAAAATACATTCCACTATCAAATGAGGGGAGTAACAGACAAAACAAAAACCCAAACCTACAGTTAAGGTGTGCTGGTGACACTTGGGATGGACTGGCCATTCAATGCCGTCCCCCTTGGGCGTCCCTGACCATGTGAACACTTGCTTGAAGTTCAGCCAGCGGCTGCCGAGGTCGTAGGGGAAGATGAACTCCTCCCCTGTTTGGTAGTGCTGTATTCTGTCTTTGGCCTAGTGGAAAATATATAATGAATGGGATCAGGTGGGTGTGGTGGTGTCATGTTTCAGTACTCGGTGAACCACATTGTACTAACAGATGATTCTGAAACCTGGGTGGTCACAGATGACACTTTTGATTTAAAGAACTTTGACAAAATATAATCCTGAAATACTGTGAAGATAAAAAAGCACTAGAGTATTCTTGAGTAAGCAAATTTAAATTAAACTAACATCACAAAATGTCAATATAAAGTCATTGAGACATTCTGACCTTTTCCTCGATCCACGACTCGATCGAGGTCTTATTTCGAAAGATGACTTTCATCTGAAAAGGAAAGACTGTTTTGATTACCAGAGAAGACTTTTCTTTTATAAATAACTCTGGGATTTAGGATAGGTCAAAAATACAGCCCAAACATTTTGCTTCTCTTTTTCTTTGAAAGACAGAAAATGACATTATCAGTGTTTTCCAGAGTGAGCTCAGCATGTGTAAATTTTGAAAAGCACCAATACAACCTTTACCTGTATGAAGAAAAGCATGCCGACCGCAATAGTGGTACCCAGTGCCAAGCCTAAGGCAAAGAGTGTGGCAGCAAAGGCAGGCACGCTGAAGGGCATGAGGGGCTGAAACTGACGCACGGCACTCATGTCAATCTTCACAGTGCTCCAGCCAAATGAAATCTGCAGTGAGGACAAATAACAGATCTTGATGTGTCTGGCAATTTCTGTATCAATTGGTAAAATAAACCGGGTAACTTTGCCTTGACAAAAGCACGTTAAGTGGGGTAAGGAGACTACTAACCCTCTCATATAGCTGCGTGTACATGGTCATAATAAAGATAAAGGCAGCGTGCGAGCAGCCCAGAGGAGCCAGCAGCAGGAAGCTGGTGAAGTAGGCGTGGTTGTGGTGGCCGCAGCAGTTGTTGATCCAAGGGCAGTGGTGGTCCATCTTCATCACACACCTGTGGGAGGAGAAGATGCACAACCATGACTCAGCTGTAGTTTCTTGCTGTAGAAAACTCATCTATTCGTGGTCATGGCTCCATCTCTGTGATCTTATATTCTTAGAGTACATCTCATATGTGAGATTAGACCCTTTATTACTTAAAAAATACAACTACCTGTTACACTTGCGACAGTGGTGGGATCTGGGGGCCTTGTACCCCTGGCACCCTCTGCAGTATTGTAGGTACTGGGTTTCCTGTTGATTCTCCTGTTTTGGGATGAACAGATGACAAAAATATCTGATGCAACTTTCCAAATATTAAATGGTTTCACTCTGCATTACATGGTATTGAACTGTTCTTTACAATTTTTTCAACAGACGTGGGTAAAAAAGGTAATAGAGCATTGTTCTTACTGGTGTCCATCCCAGAGGGATGTTTCCAGGTCCAACAAACATAGCATTGAAGTAATTGTAGAGGATGAGAACCGTCCAGTTGAGGAGCATGATGAAGTTAATGCTTCCTCCTGTAGTGTCCAGGGGCCAGTACCAGATAATGGAGTCCACAATTGCCATGGTGGAGCATATAGCAATGACAGACAGGGCTATGACTGGTCCCCAGTGGCACAATCTCCGAACCTCATGGAGGTTCTCAAATGTCACAAAAGTAGACAGGAAGTTCATTTTTTTGCCACACGTCTAGAACCAATATGTTGGTCAGTTGAGTCCTGAAATGTATTGACCAAGTTTAACAATGTGTTAATGTGTTCCTCTGCTATCTTGCAATGACAGCGGTGGGGACGATGCACATATTTTTTCTCGTCTTCTGAGTAGCCGGCAACTGGCCTGGTCTTGTATCACTGGGGCTCTCCGTGTCCCATTGTTCTTTGCCGTGGCAAAGAGCAGCATCCTCTCCTGCCAGTTGTCGGATAAACACTATCCTTGTGACAAACTCAGATTCCCCATCTAGGACACAAAGAGTGAAAATTAAAAGAAAAGAAAACATCAGAACCATTGATACAACTTTTCAGGGCAGAACCATCTCGCTACATTCAAGTTGTTTAACTGTGAAATATTTTAAGTTCCAAAAGTCATGTGGCACTTTCTCAATTACATTCTTATCGCTTTTTAAGACCGATCTTGGATCTTGTGTTAGTGCTGTGGTTTAAAATGACAAACACTCACAAATCTGAGCTAGAAAATGACAACCATGATGTGTTTTACCTCCTCATTGTGCATAAGCATCATATATATATATATACTGAGGTTTTTTTTATTGCTATTGATGAAAATTATATTGAGAAAATGATTTTTTTCCCGCTGAGCCCTGCTGTTGATGAAATATTACCACGTTAACGTAACATCAGCATGTTTATAGTACTTCACCCTCTTGTTTCTATTGTAATCTTTATGTTTTTGTATTTCACATTATCTTATCGATCACAACTGTATTTCACCATCAGGGGACTAATCGGTAGGGACACAACAAACGTGATTAGCACATGAGATCACTTCTACAAGTCAAATCCACAGCGTTTAACTCGCTCAACAGAGACTCTGGGTATAATTAGCTTATGACACCAAGCTAGCTAATTCCACATCCGGAAGAAAACACTGCAACACGGTGAAAACCATCACATGCAACATGTTATCTTGAGAACAGTCTATGTCAATCACACGCCAGACAAGTGGGGGTTAATAATAATACGTGACGATACATTTGGCTAAACGTGTTTTATTGATTTTAGCAACAGGGCTAACAGGCTAGCTAGTTAGCTAGCCTGTTCACCAGCTTGTCAAGACTAACGTTTCCGACTGGGCTGTGGCCACAAGATGAACATAAACACAGTTAATACAGTTTAGTGAAAGTCAAACAAATGTTTACTGATGAGTTCGTGAAAGATTTAAAAGGAGGAAGACAAAAGAAATGTAAAAGACTAACCTGCTCACTTCCTTGTTGTTTTTCTTGAGGAGGTCCTTCAGAAACTATCACCCCGAAGAGGACAACATTTAATGAAACAATATATTCACTGACAGAACTGTGAATGAATATATTTTACCAAAAATAATCAAATAAATAAAAACATAATAACCGAGCGGTATTTTCCACCCGCTTGCTTGGGACAGTTTGCAGTGTCGGAAAAAAATAAAAACAAAGTTCAGGTCTCCACCGGGCATATTTCACTGCGACTCAAGGAAGGGACTCCATTCGAGCCGTGTTGTTATTATCCTGAGCTAAGTGTCAACCTCAGCCTGTCTACTCTCCAACATGTCTTCAGACTTTGAAGCATACGAGCAGGAGTTCGCGACCGTCACGGCAGAGATAACGAACAAAATCGGAAGAGTTCCCAAACTCGGCGGGGGTAAGACGGGTCGAGCTTATTAGCTGGAACCGCTTAGCTGCGGCTAGCTGGCAGCTTAGCTTGGAAGCTAACGTTGGCAGGTGTAGCTTACCTTACCTCACATTTCAGCAATATAGCTGTTTATCTTCTGATTACAATGCTTCATTCAACCTACAGTGTTCTTATAGTGGTGTGTGGAATAACCAGCTCACCTGTTGTTGTCTGGGTTTGTCTGAAATGTATGTAATTCAGTGTGAAACACTGGTTTTAATGACAAATAACATAATGTGTTTTCCTTTAGTTAAGGTGCACCTGCTCTGTCAAGCCACTATCTTTAACAATGGAAGTATTAAAAGAGAAATTAAGCCTCTAGTCCCTGTTGTTTATAGTTACTGTCATTGAAGACCACTGTATATTTCTCAGGTCAGACCTGTATGGAAAGAAACACACTGACTTTATATAATAACAGGAATAACATTAATCGTGACTGTATTTGAGTTATATGTAAGTCTCAGGGCTCTTGTATTGTGCATGCTGTCTCAGAGAGACACATAAACTGAGGATAGCCATTGTTAATGTTATTCTATACACATGTGCTTTTCCTGCCTTGACATGTACATTGTCTGCTTCGCCAAAGGTCTGATGACATGGTTTCTTTTAGCACTGCGTGCCACATGTATTGGTGAATGATAAAATGGCCATAGGTGTGAATGAGCTTGTTGCTCATCTTCCCTCTGTCCAATAAATGTTTGAACAGGTTCTACCCCAGTTACTGTGAAATCGAATACGTCGGTTTAAACAATAGATGGAAAGAAGAAGGACAATACACTTTGTATGTCAGCGTAGTGACCGGGCGTCCACATGCTCTGTTTTGTTTGATTAGTTTTTAAATGCAGGGATTTGTTCTAGTATTGTGTTGTTGATTCAGTGTCTGAGTTCACATAGCTGTGTCTGATGAACATTGCAAGCATTTAAAGAGCAGAGCATTGGTCATGTAGTGGTGATTCATAAATATTTCAGGTTGTTTTATATGGATGCTTTGTTGCCATGAATGTAGTAAACAATATGTTAAGCATTAATCGTATATTGAGGCAACGTCTTTAATTTATGTCCATCACATATAAACCAGAGTAAATCTACTTTGAAGAAAGACATCAATATAGGGAGCGAACATCAGGATGACAATGAGCATGTATGATCAATGTGATTTATTTCCACTCAGAATCCCTTTATTCATTAAAAGGATAGATCTCTTTCACATTGTGACACAAATACACATCGGGAAAACCACGACAGTAATCAATAATGATGAAAAGGTGTAGCCGCACACCCATGCCACCAAGTTGAAGCAGATCCATTACAAGGGTGGCAGCAGGCACAGCTTTTAAAGGGCAAAGAGGATGTAGGGCTGAAAAATACTTCCTTTTTATTTTACTGTACATTATAATTTACAGTCCATCCAGCTACATACCTTCATATGTAAGTCTCAAATTAGAAAAATAATAGCAGCTGATTACAGTTCACTGAAAGCTGGTATATCCTTTAGACTCCAGTAGCTTTCCTCAGACAAATTCAGTCTAGTTGAGTTGATGCACTGATATCACTGTCAGTTTCTTGTCAAAATGTTTTGTTGATCCTCTAAAACTTACTTATCCCAGTTGGAAGTGGAGGTAAAATAGTCAACAAGCCTAAATTGATCTAATTATGTAAAAATGACAGATAGTCAGTTTTCAATTCCCATGCTAAACAGTTCTATTTTAAATTCCATTGGGATTTTCCAGAGAGAAATGTGTCGTTGCATATTTAGATAATCATCCAGCATCAACATTTTGCACATAAGCCACTGTAGTTGTGATTGTAGCTGTAATGTCTACATCTAGTTGACTCTACTAGTTTTAGTGTTGATTGCTAAAATCTGCATCTAACCCCTAGTGAGGATGCTAATCTTCTACTCAAGGCTCACACTGGCACATTGGTTTTTCAAAGGCCACTTGCTCTCACAAAAACCTCGGTTGACTGAATATTTCTGGTTTGCAATTGGCATCTTTGAAGATTCATGGCAGCCCATTCCACAGAGTAATTCCACATTGCTTCCTCTCACCATCTGTTAACTGTGTCAGAGTAAGCCGGTATGAATATGTACAAAGCCAGAAACCATAAGTGCCTGTTCTATGTTTTCTGCCACCAACAGAATAGTTTATAGTTGAATTTCAATTCCCTTCCTCCTCGTTAACGTTTTTCTTTTCTTCCTTTCTTAAGTCCCTCTGGCTTTTCTTCCTGAAGTAGCCGAATTTTGCCTGGGGTTTTACAGCCCCTCATTTTAATACGTTAATATTGCTCCAGACAAAAGGCTTTTGTCATTGCTGTTGTTGTATGTCTTTATTTCACATGTGCACAATTGCTGATAATGGCCATGGCGTGTGGGACAAAATGTCCATGACCGTCTTCATTCATATAACAGTCAAATGAATGTGTATTTATATATTTATTTGTTGCCATTCACCAAAAACTGAGGTTCAAGGAATATTTGAATAAGAATACACTAAAAAAGGCCTTGTTCCATAAAACACCTTTGTGTGCTCATGGAATGACTCTACATGTAAATCATTGCAACTCCAATCTGGAACTTTTTTCATAAAACAAATTAAAAGAAATTGCCAAACCCTACTTTTTTTGTTATTGCCATATTTCTGCAAGCTGTAGTCTATATATGGATTATATAATAATCCATATATATTTCACAGCCCTCTGGCCTGGGCTTGTGTTTGCGTGAGGAAGCACCATCTCACCCTTGCGTGAATCGCCTCTGGCTGTTTACTAGGTTGTGAGGTTGGTGACATGGGTTTTAAAAATGAATTTTCAGACTGGTGAAAGGTAATGCTGGCCCCTGGGACCTGGGATCAGTATGAACTTTGGGTTTAGGTAATCAGAAAATCAGACTATTGTCTTGATTGGGTTAATATTGGAATATTAGTGCCCGTGTAAATATAGTGAGTGCCTCACTAAAATATCTAGATTATAGGTTAAAGCAATTTTCTTTATGTATGTCACAGATTTTAATCAATTTTCTCATTTTAAAAATATGTTGACGCTCGATTGTTGTACAATCAAATCAGACCTTTACGTTTCATGAGGTTTACTTTCATGGCAAAGAGCTAATTTCAGAACAAAGCCCAGTTCTTGTATGTAAGGAAATTAAGCGGCATGTTGTGTCCTTAAATAACAGTGGGATGAACTCTAGTCTACACGCTTCTTTGGAACTCTCGCCAGTCCTAATGAGTTTCAATGGGTAATGTGCAAGAGCAGCCATGGGGTGAGGTGCAGAGCGGCGTGTTAGTCATTCTGAGTGGGACTCATACTTCTGGCAAGTGAGCAAAGCTGACACCTCCCTTCCCTTTGAGTTGGCACGAGGCGTCTCACTGCTCCTCAACAGAAACCAACAAAGGCCTCATAGACGCCAATAACTAAGAGACATCAAATGTTGGCTTGTCGTGTGGAGAGAATGTGTAAATATATCTTCAAATGTGTCCTCGTGTGTTGTTTTCTCCCAGCCTCTTTCTTTCCCTCTCCCCCGTCTCTTCCCCTGTTGTGGGGGAGTTGGGTTGTTGTCATGAATCGCTGTTCCTCTGTCGGCTGATCAATATGTTGCTGTTTTTTTTCCCTTTCAGAGGAGAAGACGCAGCTGGTTCTAAATGTCGACAAACAGCTTGAAGAAGTCAGAGAGTTGGTACGTCTTTGATCAGTAATTTTCTCCTCTTCCCATTTCCTAAATAATGAATTTGTGGAAAGAGGGAGGAGACAATTTTCACTGGCACCAGACAACAGCACCTGTATCGTGGTGACATGACATGCAGACACACGCACACACACTTCACTTGGCGGAACGGAGGCTTCCTCCTCACACGATTGCTTTCCCGTAATCTGCTTTTAAGTGACACCCCATGACACATTTCAAGCCATTATCTTGAGGTGGGAGTCTTCATGTTGCTGTTTAAAAATGAGCAAAGTCACCTGACAGAGACAAATTGTTGTCGCACTTGTCTTGTTATGTCACGGTGATTAGTTTCCTCCAAATCCGCCACAGAGAGACCTGTCTCGCCATGAATCAAATGTACTTTTACTTCATTCACTGTGACATTGTTGCGCCTGTACACGTCGCTGCATTGTAGACGCCCTCATAGTTGATTGTGAATTGTATTTACAGAACAGACTTCCACTGTCGCAACTTTTATCACAGCTGAGTGACGCGAGCAGGAGGCATTTCTTTTTACCATCAGCACTGGATCAAATTGAAATTAATGCTGTTGAACAAACTTATTTCAAAAGGTTTAATGTTTTAAAGTTGTCCTGAGCATCTCTGTTTTTTATCATAGATGGAAACTTTTTTGCGAGACACAAAAATGCAAATAAAACATTTACATTATTGTGTTGATGGAAAGAGACATAATGATATTTAGAGAAAAGGGAGACCTAGATTGTTTTTGCATCTTTTCATGAGTACTATGACAATGATTCTCATAAAAAGTTCCTTCACACAACTAAATTTGCATAAAGATGAACTCTGTAAGTTTTGTAATGTTTTGTATTCCTATATCATACATCATATGCTGAAGTGTTCACTCATAAAAAAGTTTGTTAAATTAAGTGAGTGAACTGTGCGTTTCAGCTGGAGCAGATGGACCTGGAGGTGCGGGAGATTCCCGTACAGAGTCGAGCCATGTACAACAGCAGGCTGAAGAGCTACAAGCAGGAAATGGAGAAGCTGGAGAAAGACTTTGTAAGTATTTCAACACGTCAGTAAATCTTAAATTATCATCATAACTTTGAAGTAATAATGCACAACATTAAAATGTATGACAAAGTGTGACTCCCAGTATATATATTTATTTAACATAACATACTACACACACACACACACACACACACACCCACACACACCACACACACCACACACAACACACACACCACACACAACACACACACAAACACACAAACAAACCAATGCTGAAGCTCAGTGGCGCATCCACCGAGGTTAATTCACTGTTTGTATTTGAACTTGAAAGCGATGCCTATCGAGAACAGGTTGTGTGTGTTTTTGTTGTTGCTGCAGACTCTGGCCTTGTTTAGTAATTCATAAATCGCTGTACGTCTTGACTTGATCTCTAGCCTATATCAAAGCTTAATGAACACAACAGTCTTCTGGGTCACTTGCTATAGTTCACAATGTTGGCTACCAATATCTCAAGGTACTCCACCTAATCAATAATGTGATGGAATTCAGTAATTATTTATCGCTAATGGTTCATTTTTTTTGAGTGTGTCTTTTCTTCTTATCCTGATGTAAATGTCTTTAAAACATTTTCTTTGTATTCAGATCTTGACCTTGCAGAAAGTATCTTTAATGATATCTTTATTTTTGTCTCTCTTCTGCTCTTCAGTTTTGTTGTGCTAGAGCTCACATGATAGTAAACCCACAGTGTGAAAGCTGTTGACCTTGAGCTCAAGAGCAGACAAGTCATTCCACAAATCAAATGTGAAATGAATCCACAAACTCAGACCTATAGGGTCATAGAAGTAAATACTGAATTGGATGTTGAAAGAACTTTTAAATAGATTTTCTAAAGGCTGGCCTGGGACAGGAGCAGAATTTAACCTTGGTGTTTCAATGTGGTTTTCTTATAATCTACAAACTTTTCTCAAAACCTTGAAATGGATCCAAGCTGTAGGTTCTGGCTCCAATTTAAAGTTTTTCTCTGCCTTGCCTGGGCGTTTTTTCTCACATCGCTAAAGATCAGTAGAAATTGATAACAGTGATTATTAAAAAATGCATAATTTTCAAAGTAAAGACATTACAATCAGAATTCTTTGCTATAAAATGAAATTAAAGTTGTGAGAATCACATACACATGAAATGGAATCACCAATATGTGACTAACTTGAATCTGACCTGAATATTCTTCTAAACATTATGTAAAATAGGCTCCATGAGTCTCCCATATTTCACCCCGATCGTTATCTCAAACGTTTGATCAGTATCGAATATCATTAACCGCTATATGCTTTTGAAAACCTTTTATTGAATTAAATTTAGAAATATAACATCCTCCCCCGGTCCCTCACTATTCCAGAAGCAGAACAAACAAGCAGACGTGCACAAACAAGCTGTGTGGATGGAGATATCGCGCTAGTGATCTGCGAGCACACCACTGAGATGTGCTAACTGAGATCACAGAGGAGATCTCCGTGCCAAGACAGTTTGCTTTCCTCACCATGGGCATTTAATTGGCTGGTTATTAATCTTTAACTTTTCTTCTCCCCACACTTACCGCGCGTAATCATCAAGCACTTAACACCTGCTGTGGCTGATGCTGCCGCTAATTTTCAATACTTTTCCTTTTTATTCCCATCTTGAGGGCAAGAGTGTTTCTTAAAATTGAGAAACTTGGCATTCACCCACTCACACTCACACTTAAAAACTAAACATCTTAATTCTTATTTATATATTAGTCCATGCTTGACAGACTGAATGCAAGTTGTGTGTGTCATGCCTCAAAATCCAGAGGCTGTAGCAGGAAGGAGCAGCAGCATTGTCTTACTGCATAAAGAATAAGAGAATATCGGCCTGCTTCACACTGTGACTGCTCAGTTTGACTGTAATATTCATTTTTACACCTCCATGTGTGGTACGGTCAGATCAGTGCACATTTAAACTAGGATCATCCACTTCGCACAGTAACATCTAGTACGTCTGGTCTCCTGCAAATCTGAGGCAAGTGTTCAGACGGCAAGAACTTCAGCCCCCTCAGATGTGCCTCAGATGTGCCAAATGCTATAGCCGAGCTCAGCCTCTCACTTCCTGCAGGCCTAGGGAGGACATGACACTCGGTTCGAAAGGCGTCGAGTGGAAAAAAGGCAATCTCCTTTCTTTTTAATGTAAAAAGCTCTGGCTTTGTTGTGCTTTCTGTGGATATCAAGGTCTTTCCACTCCCTCACTACCCAACCCCACCCCCTACTGGCCTCCCACGGGTGTCTCCCCCCTTAACCTGCTCTCTCATCCTCCCATTCACCCGTGGTTTGAAGTCTGTCTACCACCGGTGTGCCAGCTTGAGACCTCATTTCTGCTCCTTTCCAGACAGGGCCCGAGTCGACCTCGGCAACCCAGCCATTTCATCCAGGAAGACAACTTATCACACAGGCATCCCGAAGGTGCATATGTGAGACGTTGCTTTGTCGGATTGGCTGACAGCTTCATTGCGATAATGGAGGGGACAGTGGGACTCTAAACGGTGCTGGGCCATGACAAACAGGCATCGTAGCAGCCAAAGGGGATGTCAGTCTGACCAGAAAGAAGTTTCAGTCAGAGTGTTAAAAAAATTAGACAGGACAATGAAAATCCTATTTGATGGCCTCAGCTTGTTCAAGTTGGGAATGCAGAATGGCATGGCTCTTAGCCGTGGCTTTGATCAGGCAAAGAAGAGGCCACACGTAAGCTTAATTTAATGAAATATATCGGGTAAACAGAGCCACCGCCTTCAAAGGACCACGCTTGGTCTGTCCCAGTGGGGAAGGCGGGGGTCCACAGATGTCTGCTGTGTCGCACAGAATACAATCCCATTTTGACAATGTGACTCAAAGTCTGCACCACGCTCGGTGTAAATGTGTGATGTGTGGTGACATGGGCATGATGTAATGTCAGCTTTAAGCTTTCAAACCAACATTGGCTCAGAGATGAAGGTGTTTTTGTTTGTCCTGCTGTTTTCTATTGTCCGCAAATATTTTAAATATAAAAGTCGTTTCTTGGCCTTTTAAAGATGTTTTTACCTCCAATCGAAGAGGTTTGTTTTCATCTGTTGTGTTCATCTTGTTTGTCTGATAGTTGGCAGCATTGCACAAAAACTAGGAAGATTATCAGGAAACCTAGTGGAGGGATGATGAATGGGTCTGGGAAGTTTTCACCAGTTCCTTTGGGAATAATTCATGGATCTAAATGAAAAAAGGGGACTCATGTCTAAGAGTGTGTACAATTAGGTGCTGCTTGATTTAATTTAAGGGACCTTTGCAAAGGTCTGCACTCTATCGGGTGTTATTCTAGTTTGTCATATTGCTTGATTCAATATGGTTCGGTTGAATATGCTCAGTAAATGGGAATGAATAGGAACGATTTCAGACTTCATTGAACCTGCAGTTAAAATGATCTACAAGCATTTAAAGTTGAGAACTACAATACAAAGTCAGTGACTGCCTCAGTTGATCAACAGAAATATATTGTGAACTATTTTGATCGTTGAAAGTTTTTTACTTTTCTTAATAACAAATGTCAACCTTTTATATTTGCAGTTTGTCATTTGTCAATATTTGCTGCTTCTATCGATCTTATGTGATAGTAAGTACATCCTTGGATTTTTGACGATTGTTTGGCCAAAACGGAGGAACCCTTGTGACATCTCCTTGGGCTTTATGACACTATCTTTAAAACTTTTCACTTTTATGAAAGTGGGAATGAAGGGAATAATGAGGATACTACAAAAATGACAATGATCATTAAGTTGCAGCCCTTGTATCACTGTGTCATTGATAAAACAGAGCTGAGAAAACTTTGTGGTCGGTCGAGAACCTAAAAAGTTCATACCTGAATTCAATGAAATCACTCGACAGCTCAGTTTTGAGTTGTCTTGAGTACTGATGAACTGAAATTTAAATCTGCTTTATATTTCCGTATCCCTTCATTAAAACCTGCAGTTTTAATTTGAACTCAGATGATTTGTGTGTTGCATTAACTTTTGAGTGCGTTTGTTGGTGTGGTTGTTCATCTCTTTTTGCAGCAGATGGCGGTGTTGCTCTAAGAATTTTCCACGACCTAAGGTACATGACAAGGACAATATTGGGCACATTTACCAATTACTTTGCCTTTCTAATGTATAAGTGGACTCGCTATGATAAATCCTTCCACTTATTGCTTTGCCTAACCTCATCCTTTATGCTGTGTAATTGAAACTGGAAAAAATGTCACCAAAATGTCCTTGTGGTTAAAAATCCATTTCACACAAAGTGCCTCATAGACTGCTTTCCTGAATTGTGTATTTTCTTTTGGTTGTCTCTTCCAATGCTCTGAACGTTAATTGAGAAAGCAAAACAAAATGTGAATGAAATTGTTATCTTGTTTCGTGAGGTGAGTTCACTTTTTGTTGTCTGTTCGGTAACTATAAAGCTCTTGTACTCCAAATGTTAGGGTCTTTGTGTCTGAGGATCCTCGACTCTGATTAAGGTTAATTTGTGGAAATAAAATATCAAGCTCTGACAAGTTTCATTGCAGAATACTTAACATTTTTCTGTCATTTAGTGGGAATGCATGCTGGTAATGGTCAAGGCAGTTTCGTTTATTGTTCAGTCTCTTTTTTGGGGACCATGTAGAACAATTTATTCCCCAAAACCAACTCTAATATTGACTGAAATGAAATGTATTGTTAATTTGTTGTAATGTGCTGTATTACCGTTTCATCAAGGACCATGAAGATGTAATTCATCACCATGCAGCAGCGCTCCTTTTGAAACGCATTAAGGTGTAATTAATCCTTCTTTATATGAGATTTGTAAATATGATGTCAGGTTGTATTATTCAACTTACAACAAGATGTGAAATATGTAATGCGGTCAAATTTTGATTCACCCGAAGTACACTTAACTTCAAAATAAGCCTATTCAGTTTGAGATTACGACTCATTCAAATCTATATTTATTTCATTATTGCTCCCGCTTGTGTTTTCTGATATTCAATTG